AAAGACAGATAATCACCAAAGAGATATATAAGGAAAGTGGAAAGAAGATTATTAAGTAGTTGGCTGAGTTGTAGGTGACGAGATTTGAACAGGAGACCAGACTTAATTAGAAAGTAGCTCCCATGTTTTTGAATTTTGAAAAGCATGATATGGTCTTATCTACACCAAATAATGTTATCTACTCCTAATAAAAAATATAAATAAATAAAAAAGAAAAACACCATTTGGTGTTTCTAGTGGTTACATTTAAAAAGAGGGTTTTCCCTAAATTTCTCCCGCTCTTATGCACCAAACAACTTTTACAAACTTGTCTTGAAAATGAAAAGGGAATAAAAAGGAGAAAATGAGTTTTGCAAAAACGCTTACTCAAAATTTATATTTTTTTAAAGGCAGCACATTGTATTTTATTATGCAGTGAGCTTGGTCTAGTTTCTTATGGAAGTGATAATCCAGCAGGTATTCTGTCTCCATGCTTTTTGATAGCTGATATCTTCTCTTCCTATTACTCTTCAGGTATCCTTTCAGAAATCTTCAGTTGGAAATATGAGTGGATTCCTGGGATTATTAGCCAAGGTCAGTAATCTGTCTAGAAATTTATGTGACATCTGCTTTAGTTAAAAGGTTCTTATTGTTAGAAAGAGAAATTTATGAAATGTGGTTTTCTTCATTATGCTGTATAATTACAGAACATAACCAATCTCTAATCAAACTCCATTGTAGAAGTATATCTTTAATATTCAGTTATCTTATTGCAAGAGTCCTATCCTATGAATTGGAGACAAGCTAAAAAATTATCCCTCCATTCCAAAAGGAATACCGATTTCCGAATTCGTTTGAAATACTCCCTCCGTTTCAATTTATGTGAACCCATTTGACTGGGCACGGAGTTTAAGAAAATAGTGAAGACTTTTGAACTTGTGGTGTAAAATGAGGCACATATATATTGTGTGGCTATAAATCATTACATAAAGGTAAATTGTTTCCAAATAAGGAAAGGGGTCATTCTTTTTGGCATGGACTAAAAAGGAAATAGGTTCACATAAATTGAAACGGAGGGAGTATAATTTAAATATCTACACATAATATTAAAGTATTACAAATTACATTTTTCCTATACAATGTTTTTAAAAAAGTTTGAATTTGATTCTTCAAACAGCAGCATCGTCATCCTTTTTGGGATGAAAGGAGTAAAAAAAAGAAGAAGAAGAAAGAAGTCTAAATGATATGGTGATTTAGTATTTTAGTGTTTTGTAGTTTGAGTTCTCACATTATTATGCTTGTACTATAATCACTTTCCACCATTGTATAGATGCCAATTTAGTCGCTTTATTGTCCATCTTGGTGCAATATTTTTGTTAATCTTAAAAGTATTTGGTATAAGGTCATCTTCGGGGTATCAAACTCAAGAGCTGATCTTCTGGGTACTACAAGTCTGTTTTATACCGGAAGTGTAGCCCTATAAACTCTGCTTGTCTGGTCGGAAGAGGTGTTTGTATGCATTGAAGACAAATGGGGGGACTGATTGGAATAGATGATACAACGAAAATATGAGCTTTCTTAGGTGAAGCTTGACTGCAATGAGACTGACGACATAAGCAGTGCCGGAAAAGATTGATCTGGTTGTGAGCGGAAAAAATTTACCATCTTAATAAGAAAAGAACCTCGCTGAATACTTTAGCATACTTGCAGAGGTGACAGGCGGTCTGAATGAGGTTGGTCCGAAGATGCATTAAACTTCAAGCACAATGGGCAAGATGTGAGAATGCACGGGAGAAAAATCTATTATTGATATTCTGTTTTATTATAATACAATGAGCCCTATTTATACAATGCATATCATACTCCTATTCTATGTGGGACTAGGACTAAATCATTTTATGTACATAACTATCTAACACTCCACCTCAAGCCGGTGCATACAAATCATATGTACCGAGCTTGTTACATATGTAACGAATACGAGGACCAGTAAGGGGCTTGGTGAAAATATCTGCAAACTAATCATTCGACTTCAAAAACTTTGTAGCAATATCTCCTGAGAGTATCTTTTCTCTAACGAAGTGACAATCAATCTCAATGTGTTTAGTTCTCTCATGGAACACCAGATTTGATGCAATATGAAGGGCAGCTTGGTTATCACACACAAGTTCCATTTTGCTGACCTCACCAAATTTCAACTCATTAAGCAAATGTTTGATCCAAACTAGCTCACATGTTGCCACAGCCATTGCTCGATATTCTGCTTCTGCACTAGACCAAGCAACCACATTTTGTTTCTTGCTCTTCCAAGACGCCATATCCAGACGTAGAACGTCTATCAGAAGGTGATCCTGCCCAGTCAGCATCTGAGTACCCAACAATTTGATCATGGCCTCGATCTTCAAACAATAATCCTTTGCCTCGAGCTGATTTTATATATCGAAGAATGCGGACAACTGCATCCCAACGACTATCACTGGGAGAATCCAGGAACTGACTTACCACACTCACTGGAAAGGAAATATCAGGTCTAGTCACTGTGAGGTAATTTAATTTACCAACCAGCCGCCTATATCTTGCAGAATCTCTAAGCGGCTTCCCCTGTCCTGGTAGAAGTTTAGAATTCGGATCCATAGAGTGTCAACAGGTCTACAGCCTATCATTCATGTCTCCTCAAGAACGTCTAAGGTATACTTCCTTTGTGAGCTAACAACACATGAGCTAGACTGAGCAATCTCAATACCTAGAAAATACTTTAATTTGCCCAGATCCTTAGTCTGAAAGTGCTGAAAGAGATGTTGCTTTAACTTAGTAATACAATCCTGATCATTGCCAGTAATAACAATATCATCAACATAAACTACCAGATAAATACTGAGATTTGAAGCAAAATGCCGATAAAATACAAATTGATCAGTTTCACCACGAGTCATGCCAAACTCCTGAAAAAATGTGCTGAACTTACCAAACTTTGCTCAAGGAGACTGCTTTAGACCATAGAGGGACCGACGCAACCGACATACAAGACCACTAGACTCCCCTTGAGTAACAAAACCAGGTGGTTACTCCATATAAACCTCATCCTCAAGGTCACCGTGAAGAAAAGCATTATTAATGTCTAACTGATATAGAGGCCAATGGCGAACAGCAGCCATGAATAGAAAAAGGCGGACTGATGTTATTTTAGCTACGGGAGAGAAAGTATCACTATAATCGAGCCCAAATATCTGAGTATACCTTTTGGCAACAAGACGAGCCTTAAGTCGATCAACCTGGCCATCTGGACCAACCTTGACTGCATACACCCAACGGCAACCAACAGTCGATTTACCCGAAGGAAGAGGAACAAGCTCCCAAGTACCACTCGTATGTAAAGCAGACATCTCGTCAATCATAGCATGTCGCCACCCTGGATGAGACAGTGCTTCACGTGTAGACTTAGGGATGGAAACAGATGACAAAGATGATACAAATGCACAATGGGGTGATGACAGACGATGGTAACTTAAACCGACATAATGAGGATTAGGATTAAGTGTGGACCGTATACCTTTCTGGAGTGCAATCTGTTGACTAAGAGGAGACAAGTCCGCAGTATTAGCAGGGTCAGGTGCAGGACGTGAATCAACTGGGCGACGATGATGAGAAGTCAGGAGTGGTGGAGCTGTAAAAGGTTGAATTGGACTAGGCGGTGGAACTGGAGCTATAGGTGGTGGAGTTGGAGCTATAGATGGTGGAGCTGGAGCTGTAGGTGAAGATGAATGAGAGACCGTGACTGAATCTCCAAAAGATGGAACTAGTAGCACCTCAGAAATATCTAAGTGATTACCTGGACCTGTGAAGTATGATTGGGTTTCAAAGAAGGTAACATCAGCATACATAAGGTACCGCCTGAGGTCAGGAGAATAGCATCGATATCCCTTTTGCATTCTCGAGTAACCCAAAAATATGCACTTAAGAGCACGAGGAACTAACTTATCTTTTCCTGGAGTAAGGTTATGAACAAAACACGTGCTCCCAAAGACACGGGGTGGAAGACAGAACAAAGGTAAGTGGGAAAACAAGACAGAGAATGGAACTTGATTCTGGATAGCTGAAGATGGCATATAATTAATAAGATAGCAAGATATAAGAACTGCATCCCCCCGAAAACGCAACGAAACATGAGATTGTATGAGTAGGGTACGAGTAGTTTCAATAAGATGTCTATTCTTTCTTTCAGCTACCCCATTTTGTTGGGATGTGTACGGACAAGATGTTTGATGAATAATTCCATGAGAGTTCATAAACTACTGAAATGAGGAAGACAAATACTTTAGGGCATTATCACTACGAAATGTGCGGATAGAAACCCCAAATTGATTTTGAATTTCAAGGTGGAAGGTCTGAAAAATAGAAAACAACTCAGATAGATTTTTCATCAAAAATATCCAAGTGCACATTGAATAATCATCAATGAAACTGACAAAGTAGCGGAATCCCAAGGTAGAACTGACCCGACTAAGACCCCAAACATCTGAATGGACTAAAGTAAAAGGTGACTTTGCTCGATTATCAAGACGCAAACGCCGAGAGAAATGGGAGCTGGTATACTTACCGAGCTGACATGACTCACACTCTAGAGTGGACAAGTGAGATAAACCAGGTACCATTTTCTGAAGTTTTGACAAACTGGGATGTCCCAACCGTTTATATAATAAATTTGGTGAATCAGTGACATGACAAGTTGTTGAAGGAAGACAAGATGTGAGTCCATGTGATTTTGCAAGGATAAGGTAATAAAGTCCATCTGTTTCACGCCCGGTACCAATGATTCGCCCTGTACTGCGTTCCTGTATAAAAACAAGGTCATCAAGAAATAAAACAGAGCATTTAAGTGATTTGGCTAAGCGACTAACGGCTATGAGATTAAAAGAACTACCGGGAACATAAAGAACTGAATCTAAAGGTAAGGAAGGAACTGGACTTGCTTGACCTATTCCAGTTGCCATGGTTTGAGACCTGTTGGCCATTGTGACTGTTGGGAGAGATTGAGAACATGAAATAGTAGTGAAAAGAGACTTGCTTCCAAAAATATGATCAGATGTACCTGAATCAATGACCCAAGACTCATAGGTTGAAGATTGGGAGATACAAGTCACGCATCTGTTTGAACAACGGAAGCTATCCCTGAAGATGTCTGTTTAAATGCTTTGTACCGAAGGAACTCAATATAATCCGGTAAAGAAACCATCTGGATTGGATTCAATGCATTGGATCTAACGGATTGTGAGTCAAAAGGTTCTAATATGAATGCCATTATAATGTTTACGCCAAACAAATATGAAAGTGGTCGGAATTTGATTTAAATTGGATGGATAGGCTCGGAATTTCAAGGGGAACAATATTTCCTGAAGAGTCGCCGCTAAAAAATGGCCGGAAGGTGGCCCACGCGCCGGCGTGTGATGTCGGTACTTCGCCGGAAAATTTTCTTCCGGCGGCGCGTGGCAGCGCGTGGAGGGTCTTCTGACGGAGATTATTTTATGGGTTAGTCGCTGGAGGCCGATCTACTTCGTGGTGGTGTTGGTTTTTGCACAACACTGACGAAAAGTGGCTTTTTACTTGCGGCAGACCCGTGTTTGCCGGAAAAAGACTTCCGGTTGACTGATATTTCTTCTCGGAGTCGCTGGAATTTATGCACAGCGATAAATCTCTCATGATTGCTCTGATACCATGTGAGAATGCACGGGAGAAAAATCTATTATTGATATTTTGTTTTATTATAATACAATGAGCCCTATTTATACAATACATATCATAGTCCTATTCTGTGTGGGACTAGGACTAATTCATATTATGTACATAACTATCTAACACAAGTCAAGGCTCAAATCAGAGAACTCGACACTTAGCACATGGTTACTATGAGACATTTGAAATCTTGGGGATCCAATTTGAATTTTTGATGATTGGAAATCAGAGGGGAGCCCAGCTATAGTCTATCTAGCCCCCAAGGTTCAACACTTTGTGACCATTCATTTTATAAAAAAGGCCCATCATTTAGAAGCAATTTCAATAAATCTAGTTAATAAAAATTTAGGGAAACCTTCAGACCCTTGAACCCTGAGAAAGGCCCACTGCTCATCATTTAACCTATCATCTGGGGACCCCCTCTAGGTAGATATTCAAGCCCATCAAGGGTCTATCTCTGATTCCCATCAAGATACCAAGAACAGATCGAAGTGAAGTCTAGCCACAGCGATGATGGTTACCTCATGGATTGGTACTCAAAACCAGACTCAAGCGAGTCGGGAAGGGAAAAGATTTCTCCTTTCGGTAACCACTTCAGATATTGGACTCTCTTTGCAGTCTGAAGGAGATACGGAGGAGAACTACTCATTGCAGGCAGGGGACGGCAAATTACTTCTCCCTTGGTATGACCATGCAAACGACATGCAGAACCAGAGACTCATCCCTACAGTGGTTGAAGCATCACGATGAGTAAATAAAGTATGCTCAGATTCGCCATGCAGTTAGATGTCAAATCTAGGGGCTTTGAAACAGAGTTGTTGGAGCTCTTCTTGAATATAAAAACAAAGGAAATCACTTTCAAATCAGCCGGTCTCAGTCAAATAGGAGAAGGCCAAAGCATAAAAGGGTAAGAATGAACTTAAAAAGCTAGAATTTAAGGTAAATTATGGAGAATCTTTGGAAGGGGAAAAGTGGAGAAAGAAAAATTCTCCGTAAATGATGATCAAAATTCTTAGCTAGAATGTGAGGGATTAGGGGGCAAATGCAAAACATTAAAAATGCTAGCAAAACAATGGGGGCTGATGTTACGTGCTTCCAAGAAACAAAAGTAGAAGAGTGGACTGTACAAAAGGCAATGCACGTTCGGGGAACAAATGGGCTGATTGGGCAGATAAAGAGTCTGGCAAAGTAAGGATAAGTTGGCAGGGAGCTATAAAATTTCATGTGTGCTTGAAAGCATAACAAAGGAGAGTTCACTGGAACATTTACAGGAATGTATGGACCTGACGAAAGATAAAGTATGTGGCTGAAGCTTGCTGCAATTAGACTAATTTGGGAAATGCCTTGAGTAAGGGAGAGATTTTAACACTACCAGATTCACCAAAGAAAAGATTGGTACAAACAGAACAAGCAGGGCTATGAGGATATTTTCTAATTTTATCAACGACATGGCTCTGGTTATTTACCACTTCATGGAGGGAGTTTGACATGGTCAAGATACAATCCCAACTTTGCGGTTTCTCAAATAGACTGATCCTTAGTCCCAATTGATTGGAATGAAGCTTTTCTTCCTAAGGCATACTCTGATCGTAATCCTTTTCTCTTGGGAAGTGGTGAATGGACTCCTAATCTAAGCTACTTCAAATTTGAGAATATGTGGCTCAAGAGCGGTAGATTTTTGGATAAAGTTAAAAATTTGTGGAACAACTATGCAATTCAAGGAACCCTTGGTATCATATGGATGCAGAGAACTTAAAATGCTGAAAACAAATCCAAAAAAATGAAACAAGGAAGAATTTTGTAGTCCGGTAGATGATAAAACTTTAATTTGGGAAGAGTTACAAACCCTTGATCAGCTGGCAGGAAAAAGAACCCTTTCATAAGATGAAACAAAAAGGATGGAGCTAATGGAGGAGCTAGTTAATCAGGCAAAAGCAGAGGGAATCTCTTGGAGGCAAAAATCAAGATGTTCGTGGTTAAAAGATGGAGACAAAAACACAAATTTTCCATAAAATGGCAACATCACATAAAATATGCACTTGGATAGAAAAAGAATGGCTGGAGTGAGAGTTCGTAGACGAACAGATTGCTGCCACAATAAATAATTGTGCCCCAAATAAAGCGGGGCCATCATGGGTCTACGATGGCGTTTTATTATTTTTGGATAAAATAAAGGTCTGAAAAGAGCTGGGGTACAACAAAGTTGTTTGGGAGTGGGGATCGAAACTGCAACATCACATTTCACAAGCTATAGCAATCCCAGCAACTGGATGTTGTGTCCAACAGTTTTATTCTATCTAGTCATGTAGGTCCTATGGCTATATAGGTCACCATAAAATCTTAAGAGGTCCTATAGCTATATGATTCACCATTAAATCTTATTAAATTTTAAGGTTATTGATTTGTCTATAAGTTCTGCTAGGCAGACAAACTTTCAGGGTTTAGCATCTTTTTTGCTGTAACAAGTATTGCTGCAGGTTTTTGATAGACTTAAGCTATTTTGTGGTAGCTGCAGCGTCTTGCAGCTGCAGTAAAATTAGAAGCAAAGTTAAAACTTTTGAAAATACTTTAGCTCAAGGTTTGTGATGTTTTTTCTGTTTTATTGATTATAGCTTTGAGAAGTAAGTCTAACAACTGCATTTCTTGTTGCAGTACTACAAGAAGTACTTGGAAGTCCTGACATTACCCTTATTGTTTATTACATTCAATATTCCCCAGGTAATCAACTGTTTGATTCTAAAATTTGATGTGCCATAAGATTTGTCCACTTTCATTTCATTCATTTGCATTAAAATATGAACCTGGCATCTGATGTTTTCCTTTATTACGTTAGCTTTTTGGCCCAATTTTAAGTGGAGAGAAGAAGGAACTTATTTTGATTCTGAACTGTTTGGTTTGGTTTCCCCTAGAATCTTTTTTTTGGGTCCAGTTGATTTATTGATCTTTGCAGTAGCTGAAATCATTGTTTTCTTAAGAGGTTGTTAATGGAGGTACAGTTTGACTTTTGCCTCCGTTCTTCTTGACCCCCTCTGATCATAGAAATATTTCCTCCATATAGGGCAAAAGGGGCTTATCATATTGTAAATATACTGATATTTCTGCTTTGAATCTGAACATCTCTACCTGTGTTTTAACAACTAATTGATGGTAAGGAGTAACTCATCGTGTCAGAGTTTGAGTTGGAATTGCCGGGATGTTCTTGCTTTTCTTGGTAGTCTGCATCATGTCTAGTTTGGATATGTCTCCCAAGGCTTTCTTTGTTGGGACAGACACTATGAGATTTTTGTCATTGTAAATGCAGCTTTTTGGGCCAATCTGTTGCGTTTGTTAAAGTTAACAGACTGAACCATATCATAGTTGGGTAGATTGAACATAGTATTTTATGAATTAATGTTCTTGTTGATAGGTTTAGTTTCTCTTGCAAATCATTGTTCTCTGGTTAATACCTTCAGAGAATGGACTGTACTAGGAATAGAGATGCAATTAATGCAATTGATATTGTGGTGAATAAGTGGCACATCTAATGGTCATTTGGAATTGGAAAGCTGATGCTGTGGGAGGTGATGAACTGCCAAATGAGTAATGACCCGACGATTCCTCAACAGTACAATATAATATCTTACAGAAGGGGAAGCCCATATGGAGTTTTGGGTGATGGAGAGAGCAACTTGATTTAGTTTCTCTATGTGATACTGGAGACTTATGCGAAAGAATGGCAGCTGTGGGTGGACTGATCACTTAAAAATAGATGTTAGTGTTGATAAGTCCCTTACGTTTACTATTCCAATTTTTTTAATTGTGGTGTTGAGTTGGAGAGGGTGTTGCAAAGGGGAAACAAGTTTCATTACCTTTCTGACTCATTCATTTGCCCTTCTATCTTGATATGCCTGATAAAGGATCATGTGCATGAAATGAAGTTTCTTTCATTTGTCTATTTTTCAGGGGAGTTCAGTCTATTGGCTTACCAATAGTTCGATGACTGTTGTTCAGGTATCTCTTCTGAAGTATCCTTCCCTGAATGTTCCTTGTCTCAATTTTATTTCCTTGGTGACTGGGCATGCAGATAAATGCAAATGTTCTCAGTTATCTTTAAGGTTTTGTAACTTCTTATGAATGGACTCCAAGAGCTTTTCTTGAAAAGGCATTAAGTTTCGAACTTGCATGATCCATGCGGAGTGCTGGGACTTATTCTTTAAATTTCCTGGATACGTGGAAAGAAAGCATGATAGATAAACTGCTAGATAATGAAGATGGTAACTTTCTTCAAACTTCCCTTGGAAAATGTCTATGAGCTCCTCGTTTTCTCGCTTTTGCTCCCTCTAGCAGTGCTGTCTAGCAGATCGTACATAACAGTTTGTCTTTTAAGTTTTTATTCTTTTCCCGGTCCACTTGTTGCCATTGAAAATGCACTTCTTAAGATTGCACTTTCTTACATCTTCATGAAAATCAATGAATGTGGAGAACTCATTACCTTTATGGGCAGCAACTATTGCTAAAGCATCCAGATGTTCGCAAGAAACTGGGGCTACCTCATAAGGATCCTCAGTCAGTGACTGCACATCAGAAAGAGTTAGGTAATCCTGAAGAAATCAAAATAGATCCATCAAAAAAGCAGCGGAAAGTATCTGTCCAGAACCTATCACCTCATGAATTGGTTAATGTTAGTAACTATTTTCTTTTCCTGTTATCGACATGAAATGTTGAATAGTTCTTGCTGCTGTCTAAATTTTTGTTGTTGAAACTTCATCAGCTTTCAATCAAATTCTTAGCAGGAGGACGTAAAGATGAAGCTATGTCCTTTCTTCGGTAGGTCTCTCACTAAATAAAAACAATCCTCACCTGCTCATTTATTTTCTTTCTTTACTGTAGTATCTCCCATTTTAATGTATGTCTTACAGACTTGCTCTTGCAAAGGATCCCGAGTATGTTCGAGCTTTGCTTGTTCTTGGTCAGTCACTTTTGCAAGATGGTTCCTTACCAGAAGCTACTGAGTACTTGGAACGTGCTATTGGCAAGGTTCGAGTCTGACGTCCTGCATTTCAATTTGAGTTTATTGATCTTTTTGAGTGAAGAAACCTCAGTGTGCTTTTGTGGACTAAGAATTTTCCATGAAATGGTTACTAAATTCTGTTAAAAGTCATAATCTGTTTTTCTATATCTGGTAACCTTCTAAAGTCTATGTAGTATGCAGTATACTCTACAGCAGACCTTGATCTGGCTGCTAGAATCCAGCAAACTTGATTTGTTGCTAACCAAAGTCTATTTCTGCAAGTTCAGCTTCTGCTAAAGGAGAATCCGATGGACATTGAGGATGTTGATCTCCTGATTCTATCATCTCAATGGGCAGGTGTTGCCTGTATACGGCAGGTAATGGTTTTTTAAGAAATTGGCTTGATGGTTGACCTAATAGGCTTGACATGACAATAAGAATTCTTTTTTATTATAAGTAGTTTAATTAAAAGAATTCTAGTACAGATAATTGAGTACCTTGCACTATTTACGTGATTCCCTGTGACATGGCAGTGGTGGCGATAGAGAAACCATGTATGTAGGGGATGTTTTCCTTTTTGCTGCTTTTAGTGGGTTGAGTTATTGGAACTCTATTGTGGGATAATTTTCAAATATATTTTCAGCCTAGAGAACTGAGAAGGCTCCTAATATAAGATTTCCCTTTTTCTTTTTTTTTTCCCTGGCCTGTATATGCTAGAATTTTTATCTTAGTTCTCTTTCCTATTCAAATGTTTTGTTAAATTCCTGTCTGTTTCATCTGCAGTATGTTCGGAGAATATTTAGCTTGTTTTTGTCAATTATCTTTCTTTGAATTTAATGTTCATATAAATATAAATAACACTAATGATTCAATCATTCAGCTTCCTTTCTTACAATATAGTTTTATTTTTGAAGACTCTAAACTGCCCCTATGGCCTCCTGATTGCTGCTCTCCTATATAACAGTGAAGAATCGACCCGACTTACCCCAATTCCTAGCTGCTCTCCCCCCTCTCCCTTCAATGATCTGAACAAACTGATTACCCTCTATGTATCTCTGCCTTGTCCTTCATTGAAAGAAACCTTAGGCATTGCATATTCTCTCGCTTTACTGTTTTTTGCCATCAAAACTAGCTATAACCTCACTCTTTCTTTTCCTCATTCCACTCTTTGGACTCGAATTGAGATTAAATGAAACAAATAATATAAAGGCGGATAGGTTGTCGGCTGATTGCTCAGTGCCTGGAGTTAGTGTGGATGGTAGGTGAGTCAGCTATAAGAATGCTGACACCTCCAGAATGGTGCTCAATGTAGTCTTCATTCTTTAGTCTTTTTGTCTCTCTTTTTTCGGGATCTTTACATAAGGATTGTAGACAGATTTTTGTTTCCTCTTCATTTGATGACTGTATTGCTCTCTCACCACTATGTAAGTCCAACTTCTATTTTATTCTGTTGTTTTGAACTTGACTTGCCATATTTTGGGGCTTATAGTCAAAGTCAGATCTGTCTCGAGGCTTCTCTTTCTTGAGCCAAGCCCGAGCCCTTGGATAATGTGACCAGCACAGCTTGTTTATGAAGACGTCATGGGAGTAGGTTTCTCAGTGTGATATTGCACCTTTCTTTTTTTCTTACAGGGTAAGATGGGAGAGGGACTTGTACACCTGGAACGAATAGCTAGTATAAAAGAGCCAGAGGACCCAAAGAGCAAGGCTCATTACTATGACGGATTAGTACTGCTGTCAAGGTAAAGGTTTTCCTTTAATTCTTGACCCGTGGTTTATCATCTCCAATTAGTTCCACCTAGGAAAGCAAGTTCTAAAAGACCTTGTGTTTATTCCAATTCTACAATTGATTAAACTGGTACATGATGTTCTTACAGTGCGTTGGTCAATGTTGGTCGCAAGAACGATGCAATTAAGCATCTGCAATTGGCTACTGCTTATGACGAGTCTTACAGGAAACTGCTGCAACAATGCGAGAATGAAGAGGATGATATCACTGGTGACCTTGTCAATAGTAGAAGAGCAGATTACTGAGTTTTGTGAGCGCATTCTGTGCATTTTCCCCCTTTCTGTTTCTCATTGGATTGTCTTATTGTTATTTAATTGTATCATAGTGAATAATTGCGGCTGTAAAACTTTGTAGGAACCATTCTTTTTGCTAATTCTTTTTTGATAGGTCCATGATGTAATAATGTTTTCGTAGACGAGAGATCTTAAATTGATCTAGGCGTCAACAGAATCTGTACAAAATGATTTTGATAGAGATCAGATTTTTTCCCCCCTTGAGATACCATGAGGATTGTTGTTTTGTAGATCTCCTAAAATGAGTATTCGTATATGTACAATCAAATTCTGGGATTGGAGAAGTTTGGAGAATCAATGTTATTGGCATAACTCAGTAATTATTTATCTGTTATTGCCAATAACTCCTAAACTGGCGCCTCCCTATTAACTATATTCTTTCTGTTTGTAACTTATTAGAAGTTAAATTGGAAATTTCAATATGTTTATGCTTATTTACAACTTCACATTACTTGACCATAGAAAATTCATATGCAAGTCTTAAATAAATTTCAAATTGAGGTTTAGATGATTGATAAATTTACATAGAAATTTATTCTTTAATGAATAACTAATAGAAAAATTTGAGTAGTGTTTGGCTTTAGACTAGGGGTGTTCAAAATCATATCAAGTTCACGTAAAAAACTAGATATACTTTTGACTTGATTTGGTTTGGTTCTTTTAAATTTTAAAATAAAAGCTACAATATTTGATTTGGTTTGATATTAAAGAAACTAGCAAAATATTTGTTTATTTTAAAAAATATGTGTTTACTCTTAGCCAATAAAGTTGTCTAGACATATTAATGATGCTTAGTTGAGTTTTGTATTCTTTTTCATTGGAGTTATTTTGGAGTGATTTATTCATTATTTTAATCATTAATGTTAGCTAAGTTTAAAGCATATAAGCATAATAAGATATTACTTGATTTATAAAGTGAAATAATTGTAATGTCTCAATGTCTTGCAGTGAAACTACTGCTCGGATATAGATAAATGCAAAGATAATAGGTTCAACTATTTGTTTAATTCTTGCTAAATATATAAATCAAAGGGTTAATTATACTAAACACCAATTGTATTTTAAACTTAAACACTTGCACCCCCTATACTATTGAAATCTTACACTTATACCCCCTATGAATATGAGGTGTAACCTATATTAAAATATAAATTTTATAAGACAAATTAAAACTATTAATAAATGTTTTTAAATTATTTTAATGAAATTTAAAAGATCGTAAATATTTTTGTTGAAAATGTTTATTCTCACTTTTGATTAAAAAGAGAATAAATAATTCTGAAATATGTTCTTTTGAAACTCTTAAATAGGAACTGAACACAAATTACTTAATGAGGTGACTTGAATTTTACGTATTTAGCAAATTATTTTTATCTTTCGAAACTCTTAAATACAATATTGTCATCCTTATTTTAAACATTTAAACTCTTATATAATGAAACAAATCAAAAGTGATTTAACATAATTTTGAAGCAGAAGAACAAATAAACAAACAAAAATAAAATTGGAAAAAGTTTTTATTTATAATTGGCAGAATGGCCTAAATGGCACCTATACTTGTGCTACTTTGTCATTCCGGTCCCCAAACTTAACAATTTGCCAATTGAACACTTACACTCCTTCAAACCGTGTATAATAAACGCTTATGACAGGAGGCTGTCAGTGCGTGCAATACAATCCCCTCCACGTTGGCTGCCACGTCAAAAAAAATAATGTGTAGATGCCATGTCACATGGTAGATTAAAAATAATTAAAATCAAAAAATAAAAAATAAAAAATAAAAATAAAATTCAAACATTAATCCCCTAATCCTCTCCCTCATTGATTTATCTCTCTCCTCTCACGTTCTTCCTCCTGCCCATCTCGCTTCTCTCTCTTCATGTTCTTCCTCCTCTCCCCTTCCAATTCTTCCCTTTTTATATTATAGAAATAAAATTAAAATGAATAAAGAAAAGAAAAGTGGGAGAAGAAGTTCGGTGGTCCATTTCCATGGCTGAAGGCGTTAGGTAGCGGAGAAGAGGTTCGGTGGTCCATTTTTTGTCCAGCTCGAAAATGGGGGAATAATTCATTATCTTTCTTCTTCTTCTTTTTACTGATTTAGAAAATAAGTCTTGCCTTGTTTGATTTTTGAAATTGGGGTTAAATTTTCTCAAAAAGGTCTAATCTTTTTTAAGTATTAATTGGTAAAAGAATAATTTGTGCTTCAAAATCCTTTATGGGTTAATCTTGAGGTGTGGTAATTCTTGAGAATTTTTCGGTTAACCCTTTTTTTGGTTTGTTGGTATTTTTGATAGTTTGATGGGTTTTCCTTTTACAAAATGGGCATATAATTGAATTTTAAGAGAAATATGAATTATTGGCCAAAGGATTCGAAATTTATGAAAAAGTTTCAGATTCGAGGTAAGAAACAAACAAAGAAGATAGGGGAGGGGAGAAAGAATTGGACAAAAAATATTGAAGAAAGAAAGAGAAAAAAAAAGAATTGGATAGAAAATGTTGTGGAGAGAGAGAGAAAAGGAAAGAAGAAAAGCTCACTTTACTTCAACAATGGAGGATGAACAATCGGGAAGAAGATAACAGCCAAAAAATGATTGTTGGTGTCTTTTTAATAGGCCTCACGCTCCTTAAACGAGTGTAGCACACGCACTTCAGTAAAAAATGCCATATAGGATGAGCGGGGTTTAAAATGCTCAGTTTTTAAGGGTAGAGAGATTTGGTTGGCAAACTTGTAAGTACGAACATCGGCATGATAGAACTGGACAAGTACAGGGGCCTCCCATGCTATTCTGCCTTTATAATTTTATATCTTTTAATAATTATATTTTATTGTACTTAATTATAAATATGCCTCAGTGATATATACTTTTTGTCACGACCCAAAACCTAACCTGGCGTGATAGCGCCTATTGTGATACTAGGCAAGCTGACATCTCCAAAACACTTTCAACATTTAACAAAAATGAATTAATATATTTAAAAATAACCAACATCTTTCATGAAAACGGGGTAAAACCCAAAGCATAAGTGCGAAAAAATAGCCCGACATCGGGGTATCACTGAATCATGAGCATCTAGATATCCAGTCTAATACAAACAATGTCTGAGGAAAGAGAACATAGAAGGAGAGACAAGGTCTGCGGACGTCGGCAGCTCCCTCGTAGTCTCTGGTACTCGATCGCGCACGAACTCAATGACCTCCGTGATCAAACACACCTGGATCTGCACATGAAGTGCAGGGTGTAGCATGAGTACAACCAACTCAGCAAGTAACAGAAATAAATAAAGAACTGATAAGGTAGTGACGAGCTATACAAATACAGTTCATTTTCAATAATTCCAGTAAAGAATAGACATGCTTTCAAATCCGGCAGTTCAAGTCAAATCAGTTTATACAGTTACAATGCAGGTAATCCGGATATAGAATCTTTCAGAAATTTCACAATAATGACAGATAGCAACTAAGTGCATTAACAAATGAAAAACAAGTATAGCCTCTCAGGGCAGTCGGGAATTTAGACCTCGATTTGAGGTCGGATTCCAAAATCAATTACATATTCGGGCTCGGGGTGAATAGGTAAATGGATTTTGGTCTGAACCTTGGGTTTTGACCAAGCGGACCCGGGGTCGATTTTAGACTTTTTGGAGAAAAATTTGGGAAATTTGTAATTATTCATTAAAGTTGATCCCTTTAGCAATGTTTGATATTATTGAGTCATTTTTGAATAGATACGAGTAGTTTGGAGGTGAATTCCAAAGGAAAAGCCGTGATTGAGAATTAAGTGGCCTTCGGAGCAAGGTAAGTGTTGTGTCTAACTTTGGCTTGAGGGAATAAGTATTGTGTGAGTATTTGCTACGTGTTTTGTTGTTAAATATGATGTATAGTTGAGGTGACGAGCATCTATGCATTGTGGTCGAGTCATATCATGCGAGTGAAATTCTATTCTTATTTATTTTGTAGCCTTAAATTCTACTATCCATGCTTAGCGGGTTATTTGAAATGTTGGGTGACTCATATCTGGTTTCATTGAGATTTGGTAACTTTCGAATATTGATTCAAGGTTGAGATTACATTGTGCTATTGATTATGGGTAAAATACTGGTTTCTTTGTGATACTCTTATCTATCCGTTGTTATTGATTTTGTGATTGGTGAGGAATAGTGTAAAGCACGAAGGGTGATTTCGTGCATGCATTAATTATATTGTAAGGAAGAGTGTAAAGCACGAAAGGTGATGTCGTGTATATTATGAGAGGTTTAAAGCACGAAGGGTGATGACGTGTATATTATGAGAGGTTTAATGCACGAAGGGTAATGTCGTGCCATTCTATTTATTTATTTGGTGAGGTTGAGAGTAAAAGCACGAAGGGTGATGCCGTGCAGTTTTCCTTGTTGTTTTAATTGCTCAATTCGTTTAAGGATTTTCGGTTTAATTCTGTCTTTTCATTATTCTCACTCTTTATGTTGTATTCTCCCACTGTATGTTCCCTTCCCATTATTTGTATGTTATTTCTTTATTTACTGTTGTTGCCACTAGCAGGATTATATTATTCAGGTTATATGTGGGTGTCTTGTCCTAGCCTCATCACTACTTCGCCGAGGTTAGGCTCGACACTTACCGGTATATGGGGTCGGTTATACTGATGCTGCACTCTGCACTTTTTGTGTAGATTTTGATAGCGGCTCAGGTTGATCGATATTTCTACTGGTCCGTTGTCCGAAGACTCAAGGTAGATCTGTCGGCGTTCACATACCTTGAAGTCCCCGTCTATATTTTATGTCCTACTGTTTTCTTTCATTCAGACAGTTGTATTTCTTTTAGACTATTTGTCACGACCCCAAATTATCCCTCCGTAAGGTGTCGTGATGGCACCTAGTCCTTACGACTAGGTAAGCCTAATATTGCGAAAAATATAAAGAAACACAACATTTTAAAGATAAACAACATATTATAAATAGCCAAGAGTAGTACCACTCGGCATCTACAAAAAAATTTTCCAAGACCCGGAATATCACTAAGTCACAAGCTGCTATAATCTATGTAGCTCTATACAAAAGTCTAAGGATAATAAAGAAAGTATCTAGGCGAGGGAGTAGAAGGGGACTCCGAAGATCTGCGGACGCAAGGAGAAGTACCTTGAAGTCTCCTAGAATCAGTAGCACGCACTAACCCCGAGGCTTGTAGCTCGCACCTGGATCTGCACACGAAAATATGTGCAGGGAAGGGCATGAG